ATCACACTGTGATTGCCCAGAGTCCCTGTTCAATCAGGAGCTAATTGCTTTGGAAAGAAACTTGGCAAACCCAAGGGGGTAAAAAGTATTTTCTGAAACCACTGCCTTTGTTTTAACCTCTCTTACTCTGCTTCCTCAGGGGCCGGTTCTACCAACTGCTGGACAGGTTCTTGTTGCCAAAGGAAGCTGTGCCTGTGTGGATCCTCTCTCAGAAAAACCCAAACCCACCCCCAAAAAACCCCAAACAACCCCCTCAAAGCCCTCAGTCTTGTGGGAACGGGAGAAACGGCTCCTTTAACACTTTCTGACTTACAAGAAATTCTGTCATCCCTCTTAAAAACCTGAGAGGATTTTTATGTTCTGTCTTTTATCTCTCTGCCTATTGTTTGGTTCTTCTGCATATCCATGTTGGAAAGGCAGTTTTACTGCTATCCTTGTAGGAAAGAACAAAAGGCTCCTCTGGGATATTGGCATCCAGAGGCACTCTGATAATTGAAAACAGTTCAGAGTCAAGAAGCAGCTGTTAATGTACCTGTAGCTTCTGTCAGCTTGCTAAATATGGTTTTTATAAAAATCATGGAATGGTTTGGGTTGGAAGGGACCTTAAAGCTCATCCAGCCCCACTCCTTTTCACCACGAGTTGGAAAGGAGAGTCTGGGCTGGTGGCAGAGCATTTCTGGCTGGGACAACTGCTCCTGTGTCCTTTGGAGGGTGAACGTTACAGGGTGAGCTGGGATGGACTTTCCAGTCGGGCAGTTGTCCCTTGGGCAGGTTCCTTTGGCATTCCCACGTGGTTCCATAGGGTGGATCATCACCAGAACCTCTCTGTAGAGCTGTGCAGTGTGGCCAAAGCACACCCTCAGGACTTGTGTGGAAGGGGGAGTGCCAGAAAAGGGGCAGGTTCTGGGTGTTCAGTGTTCCTGTTCGGAGGTTGTCCCGTGGGGTTGAACTGTGCCTGTTGAGGTTTTTCCTTACCAGCAGTGCTCCAAATCCAGTCCAAATAAGGCTGGTTTCCCTGCAGCTGCTGTGAGAACTTTGAGATTTGAGGAATCTTGGAGGCTTTTGGTGGGCTCTGGGCACTGGCATTGAGAAGTGAGAACCTGATCCAGAGTTTCTCGCTGGAATCCTCTTTCCACCTTGGTTGCTCCGTCGAATTAAGCAGATAATTCTGTGCACACTCAGCTCCTCTTGGGCCTAATACTGTGATTATTCTTTGGTGCCCTGAAGAATATTTAATTTATACAGGTTTCCATGAGTAGTAAAAGCACTTTGTTAATGGATCTTTAATCCTGGGAGTAGTTTGTACTGTCTAGTCTAGTCTAGGCCCCAGCACATCACTGGTGGCTTTTGGTATCCAATGTTTATTTATTCTGTGGTGCTTTTGGTTGTCATGCAAGGTTGGGTTTTGATAAGAGCAGACCTTACAAAGACCTCTTTTGGATTTTACGCTAAAGAAAATTTTACTTGAATTGCTGGCAGTAAATGATGTTTAATTCCTTTTTTTACAGAGCGAGGGTATGATCCCTACAACCCAGAGCTTCCCAGGGCCTCGCTGGAGACGGAGGATGGCACCCTGGCTGACCTCACAGACGTGACACCCGGAATTCTGGAGCTGGAGCTGGTCAACAAGGCCATCGAGGCTGTGAAAAATGAGGTGGAGAGAGAGCAGAAGAAGTACGAGGAGCTGCTGGAAACCACGAAGGAGTTTGGGGCCTCGGAGGGCTCCTCGCTCCTCTCAAACTCGCCCGTGTCGGCTGCTGGGACTCAGAGTGATTCCTTTGCCTCCTTGGAGTACAATCCAGGGAGCTACAACTTCAACAATAACTCAGACTACAACCCCACCCCTCTCACTGCTGCTGGCCGGTCGAGTAAATACACCCTGGACTCGTCCCGATCCAAAGGGAGCGCTCTGGAATACATTCCCAAGGCTGTGGTGCAGAGTAAAAAGTACAGCAGCACTGTCACTAACAACAAGTACGTGATTGATGACTCCAAGCCTTCCACAGACTTGGAATACGACCCCCTTTCCAATTACTCAGCCAGGCTTTTGAGCAAAGCCACGAGCAAGGAGCCCAAGGGGTCCAAAAGGGAGAGGGTGGCTGATTATGAGGAATCCTACTCTCCCTCACCCAAGAAGCTCTGTGAAGACCCCGATGACTACGAGGTGTTTGCCAGGTTCTCCTCCTCCGAGGATGAGGCTGATGTGGAATATAAAACAGCTTCTGGCAGTTCACCATCCAAAGCTGGTTCTGAGAGTGAGTCAAACGAGCTCTCCAGCAAAGAGCCGAGCACCAAACTGGATAGCAAAGCCCAGGAGAGCAAAGGAGCAGCCCAGCGTGGCAGGGAGGACCCTCCCAGCTCCCAGAAAAACCTTGCCAAAAACTTACCAGACAAGAGCACAAAAGTGGTGAAACTGTGCTCTGGTAAGAACAGCCAGGAGACTGAAAATAAAAACAAAGACTCAAAAGACAAAACAAAAAAGAAGAAATCGGACCTTAGTAAGGCACCAGGCCTCGGTGAGGCCGGGAAGAAGGAGAAGAGTAAAAGTACAGAAAAAGGCAAAGTGCTCAAGAAAGAAGAAAAACTGAAAACCAAGAATGAAGAGAAAAACTGCAAAGATAAAAGTGTCAAAGTGAAAACAGATGGGAACTTAAAGAAACCTGAAAAGCAGAAGTCAGAAAGAGCGGATGGGCTCAAGAAGGAAAAGTCCAAGTCCAGCAGCAGCAGCTCAGGAAAAAGCAAGAGTGAGGGTGTGAGCAAGGGCTCGAGCACAGAGAAAGGGGGGAGCAGCAGGAAGGACCCCCAGAGCAAATCAGGGGAGGTGAAAAATGGGAAGGAAACCTCGGTTTCCCCTCGGAAGAACAAGGAGAAAGGGCCCAAGAGTGTGGGAGTGGAGAGGAAGAAGGAAAAGGTCAGTCCTGTGGGCAAAGGGGAGGCGAAGAAGGGCCGGAAGCAGCGGAGCTTGAGCCACGTGGACCTGTTTGGGGACGAGAGCGGGGAGGACGAGGCCGAGGGCCGGGCTTTGGCCTCCTCCCTGCGCGCCCCCAGCTCGGGCTCGGACGGGGGGGACTCGGGCTCGGGCTCGGGGAGCAGCAGGGACAGGGCCCGGCAAGTGAAGCGCTCCAGGCTGTCCAGGTCCCCGTCATCGTCCTCCACCTCCGACGACATCGACTACTCCATCCTGGAGAAGGACGTGGACTTCGAGTCAGACCCCATGGAGGAGTGTCTCCGGATTTTTAACGAGTCCACGGATGTGAAGACCGAAGACAAGGGAAGGCTGGGGAAGCAGGTAACGCTGGGCTGGGGGGGTGGCTTCTCCTCCCTCCAGAGGTGGAAGGGTTCTGCTTTGGTTTAGTGGTGCTGCTCATTTCAAGTAGCTGAACAGACTCCATGGGTTGGAAGAATCTCATCCTTGTCATGGCTGAGTGCTCGGAAGAGTTTGCACCTGAATTTACCTGCTGGGAAATGTAAGGGTCCAGTTCCCTTTTGTGGGGAACATCCTTTAGCTGTCAGGGTTATCAGTTCCTTCTGTCTCCACCTGGCCTGAGGACAGTGGTGGCCTGGGTGGCTGGAGAAAGGGCTTCAGAGAGCAAGTTTTGGGCCTTTCAAAGCTGAATTTGCCAGTGTGGGCAATGCCTTCTTCTTGCAGCAGAGTTTAAGGAACACAGGGGTAACACCTGGACAGTATATTGGTGCAAGTAAGTCCATATACTTGTCACTGGACACTCTGGGGACTCCCCAGATTCCTGTTTCCTATTTTTAATTCATACTGCACATAGTTTAGGAGGGTCTCTGGGTACCTTGTGGGTGCTGCAAACAAGAAGTGGAGGGTAAAGTTTCTTCCAGTGGTACAAGAGGATTCAGAGTAAGGAGGTAAAAAGAGAGTATTTACATAAAAAGGCTTTGACTGAGGTGGTCCCTGGAGGATGAAAGACCCTCATTTTTGAATATCAAAACCAAAGGGAGCCCTCACAGTGAGAGAGACACTGAGGGGCTGGAGCGTGTGCAGGGAAGGGAACGGAGCTGGGAAGGGGCTGGAGCAGCAGGAGCAGCTGAGGGAGCTGGGGGGGCTCAGCCTGGAGAAAAGGAGGCTCAGGGGGGACCTTCTGGCTCTGCAACCCCCTGACAGGGAGCTGGGGGGGGTCGGGCTCTGCTGCCAGGGAACAAGGGACAGGAGGAGAGGGAACAACCCTAAGTTGTGTCAGGGGAGGCTCAGGTTGGATATTGGGGAAAATGTTTTCACAAAAGGATTGTCAAGCATTGAAAGAGGCTGCCCAGGGTGGAGTGACCATCCCTGCAAGTGTTCAGACAACCTGGGGATGTGGCCCTTGGGGCCATGGGTTAGTGGTGACCACAGTGGTGGGGCTGGGCTGGTGGCTGGACTTGGTGATCTTAGAGATCTTTTCCAACCTTAATTACATGATCTTAAGTGTAAATGGCTACAAAGCAGCCTCTGGCAGTGATCCCACCCCCCCAGCATCCGAGGCAGGGAATTAGGAGCACATAAAAGTCGTCCCTCGTCTTCTGACATCCAGTCTGACAGGGCAGGGGGACAAGGCCTCGATCCCGGCGCAGCTCCCGGGCCCTGACAGGGGTTGGGAGCTGCTGTCAGACCCAGCATGCTCAGGTTCTGGGGGTGATGCTTTTGGTGTCCAGGGACTTGGATTGGAAAGAGCTTTATGGAACTAAAAGGTGACAAACTTGGCAACATTGAGGAAACCCCCCCAGCTTGTGTCTGGTTTTATCCCTGTGGCTGCAGCACAGGAGTGCTGGGGCTGCTGGGTCAGCTGTGGTACCTGGGAGAGTCATGGAATGGTTTGGGCCTTTTTTGCACTCACACAGAACTCCTGGACAGAAGAAACTATAAACCAGTTCTGTATGATGCTTTTCTTCTCAACTGTTAAGCATTGCTTGTTTAAAATTCTGCTGTTTAGTATTCCCAGCTAGGAAAAAAACCTCTATTTTGGGCGCTTTTTTTTCTCTTTTTTTCTCAGTTTAAGTGAAAGTAGTTGAAGGGCACAATATCTGTGGTGGGAATTACTAATCCCTGACTTCAGAAAGTGCTGGACCAGGAGCTGCCTCTCACTGCAAACAGTTAATTGTGGTCCAGGGTGGCAGAGCTCAGCTGGCAGCAGCCATGTGTGGCTCCCTTGCAGGTCCTGCTCCTCTCCCTCCCTGCACTGGGATTGAATTTCCCACTGCTCTGGGAAGGGAGGAACACACCCTGCCACGGAGGGACCCTCACCTGGGAGATGGGGGCCTGTGAGGGGGTCCCTGGCAGGTGGGATTGGTCATGGGGAGTTGTTTTTTGATGATGGAATAATTTTGTGGGTGGAGCCTGTGTTGTTTGGTCTCAGTAGTGAGTCAGGAGAGGGTTGGGATGGATATCAGGAAAAGATTCTTCCCCCAGGAAGAACACTCTCAGTCACAGGGTGGGATTGTTGGGGTGTCCTGGGCAGGGCCAGGAGTTGGACTGGATGATCCTTGGGGGTCCCTTCCCACCCAGGATATTCCAGGATTCCATGATTCTGCAGGTACAGGGCAGTGTGGTGCTTTTCCACCAGGAAGAATGGCTTTGTGAGAGAGTTCATTAGGGATGTAAGTGAATTAACAGGCTCTGGAGTTCCTGGAGAGCCAGGTGGTTCAGTGGGAAGTGCTCACCCTGAGTGTCCTTGTGCTGCTGGACACAAGCTCATCCCAAGTGGAGTCTGAGCTCATCCCAAATCCAGCCTTGGGCTCTGTCTCTGAATTCCAGGGGTTCTCAGTCTCATCTCAGAGCTTTGCCAGGGTTTGTGTTGGAGAACTGCAAGTGAGATTACCTGGAGAGCAGCTGGAGTTTTGAAAATAAGCTTGTGAGGTGTGTTGTGTATAAATGAACAGCCAAGTCGAATTCAGAGCGGGTTTTGAAGCTGTTCCCCCTGTCCAGGAGCAGCTCTGAGGGGTGAGCTCGGAGCACCTGTGGCTGGAGAGGGGCTGCCCCTTCCTGCTAGGGCTCTGGGGGTGCAGGTGGGGCCTTTGTCACCTCCCTTTCTGCTGTTTCAGTGTGGATAGACCTGCAGAGAACCCTTTCCCTAGAGGTGGAGTGGGGGCACCGTGCTCTGGTGTCCAGCAGGTTGTGAGGACCTGCCCGGGGCAGAAATGAGTCAGATCCCAGGTTCTTCAAAAAAACCCACCCCAAACACCCCTGGATTTTAGAGGAATGCCAGCAGAGGTGAGATGTGTGAGTGGCTGGCAGGAGAGGGGGGTTCAGGTCTCCTGTGGCAGGTAAGGGCTGTCCAGAGTTGTGTCAGTCCTGCCCTGGGCACAGCTCGTGGAGTGGGAACTGTCCTGCTGCTGTTCCTTGGCTTTCTTGGTGGCTCCTGGGGTCAAACCAAGGTTTCTTGCAGAGGTTCAGCAGCTGAGCACATGTTCTCACCTTCCACCTGCCAGGTTAACCCCAAAGGAGACTTCTCACATCTCCCTGGTGAGAGGGATCTTCAGGTCTGCTCGGGTTTGGGAGCTTGTTCTTTTCTTTTCCAGCCATCCAAAGAGGAAGCCAATGAAGAAAAGGCAGAAGATAATTTAACTACCTTGTTTCCTGGCCAGAAAAGAAGGATCTCTCATCTTGTCAAACAAGGAAATGTAAGTGCACATTTAGAAGCAGAAGTTTAGATTCTCTCAAGTGAGGATTTTCTGTCCTGACCCTGCACAAAGGTTCAGTCCCAGGGCCAGGCAGGGGCATGTGAGTTGTTTGTGCTGGAATCAGTCTGTGTTAGTTTTATTTCCTCTCCTTCTAATCCCTAAATAAACCCCATGTTTAGGCATCTGTTAAAAATGGCAGCAAAACTAATAAAATTTGTAAGCTGTGGAAGAGTGAATGGATTCTGCAGTTTGTAACCCTTTGGGATAGGTTGAGATGTTCATTTTTCTCCAGTAGAGCTTCATTCAGTGACTTAGATAAAAATTAGCTGGACACAGGGTCACTCTGTGCCTGATGCTGCTTTTCTGTGTCTCCTGGAGCTAAAAGCTGCAGGAATTTTGTCAGATGTTTAAAACTATTGCCTGACATCTGTTCTGAATCAGCCAAGAGTATCAGCAGTATCTGTTTGGATCCTCTTCTTTCCCAACTGTAAAAATACAGAGGAGAAGAATTAAAACAAAAAAAAAAGAAAAAGAAAAAGAAAAAGGCAAGGAAGACATTCTGATTTTTTTCATTCCTTTCTCCCTGGGATTTTAATTCATGTTTTCTCTGCGGGTTTAATGTTTTTCCCTCCAGGTGCTGAGCACAGATTAGTTTTATGTTCCAGCAGGATAAGAGTGGAGACTTACACACTGATTTGAGCTGGGTAGTCCAAATTAATTGTTCTTCCTTTCCTCTCTGCCTAGGAAAGAGGGTTTTTTTTTTTTGCTTTTAATAATTTGAAGCCCTGAGGTCAATACAATGTGTTTTATTTAACTACATATCTTCAGCCAGTTCGTGTGGTTTGATAAGGGCCCTTTCTTCCCAAGTGAAGAGATAAGAGACTGAAGCAAATGGCTTGGAAATTCATTAACTCAAACATTTATCGTAAAGAGGCGCCTTTTAGCCATGTACAAACCTTTAAATATATTTTCTTAATGTGACAGCTGATCCCAAAATGCTTTCCAAAGGTGGGAGCCCCAGCACAGGCTCTGCCTGGGCAAACAGAGCCAATCTGGTGAGCTCCGGGGGCAGCTCTGGCACCTGCATTCCCTGGAGTGTCTCAGCTCCTCTGGCCAGCAGGTGCTGTCAGACCTGAACTGCTGCTTTTCCTCACAGAACCGAGCCCTGTGCTTTGCCATGTCCCTCCAAGTGCAGTGTTTGCTCAGTGATTTGTAGCTCAGGCCCTGAGCAGCAGGAGGGGAGGGAGCCGAGCTGGGCTGGGGGAAATGACGGCCCAGAGGAATTGGGGGTGAGGCACGAAATGAGTGGCCTGTCCTGCTCACAGGTCTGTCATTATAATTAATGTCTGACTGCACTCAGTTTGGTATCCAGAAGCTGGTGGCAGCATCAGAGACCAGGAATGCAGGAGGTGCCAGCCTGCCCCCAATTTGCTGTGTTACATTGACCCTTCTCTGGAAGGGATTCCAGGAGGCAAGGCCTGTTCCTCACATTTCAAAGGTTATTTATTAAGTAGTGTGGAGAAGTTTGTACTACTTCTGCTGCTAGAAAACTTCTCTCTTTGCTGACATCATTTCTGGCACTTTTCCTGCAGCCTAAATTTGGGCATCAAAGGAAGAGCACGTGGAACCTGTTGGTGCTGAGGTGCCTCCAGAAGTGGGCAGGGACAGAGCCTGTTGGAAATGCAGAGCTCAGCTCGTGTAGTGCTCTAATCCCATAAATACATATTTGTGAGGCTTTTAGGTAGCTCCAGACTGGAGACCTGGAAGGAGGGTGCAGAGAGGTGGATGTGCAGGGAGAGAGCTGTGAAGCTCAGCATCATGTACAGAGGGGAGTGGAGGCCAATTGTCACTTTTTCATTGCAGCACAAACCAAAGCAGGCAGCACAGGGCTACATTTGCTGCATTTATGTTCCAGTGCAAGCCTGAGAGTGTTGGCAGGGCCCAGAAGTGGGTTAGGCACAGTTATGGGGAACATCACAGCATTAAAAGCAGTTCAAACACCACCTGCCAAGCGAGGAACCTGCCGGGAGGCCTCCCCGGGGGTGAATCATCAATGCCCCGGTTGTGGAGGGGTGACTCTGACTGTTTTGCTCGGGAGGACAGTTGGCATCTTCTCCTCCCAGAGCCCTGTGGGTGCCAGGAGAGGGGGTGAGGAGCAGAGGCCGTGTGGGGCGGGGATGGGGCCGGCGGGGGGAGGCTCTGACGGCGCTTTGTGTGTGCAGGCAGAGGCCCCGAGCAGGCCCGTGGTGCGGCCCTACCGTCCCCCCACGGCCCAAGAGGTGTGCTACCAGAGGATCCAGCTGGCTCAGCAGCAGGCAGCACAGCTGGTTCAGAAGGCCTCTCTCTCTTTGCCAGGAGAAAAGAGGAGGATTGCCCACGTGCCAAATGCCGCCCTCACCGCAGCAGCCAAGCAAAGTAAGTGGTGGTTGGGATCGCTGTCCTGTCCTCCCCCTGGTAAAACACACTGCCTTGGCTTTAATTGTCTCCAGGGCAGATGTGAAGCTATCAGGAGATGTGTTGAGACTTGAATCTTTGCTGACAGTGACCAGTGGGAGGCCTTTCTCTGAGGAATTCCATCCTGTTCCGAAAAGCAGCGGGCTGGAGGTCCAGCCCCATCTCTCACCCTGCCTCCCTCACCTCAGCCTTTCCTTTTTCTCTTTCTTCCTTGGGTTGGGTTTGCTCCTCGTTCCCCCTTCCATCTAAGCCTTCAGAGGTGGCACAGAGCAGATGGGAAGTGCTAATTAATGCTTGGTGCTGTCCCTTTGTAGTCAGAGCTGACGTGACTCAGTCAGTGCCTTGCAGCGACAGAGTCACCTCTTTAAACTCTGCTGACTCAGTTACCCCAGAACAAACAGAAATGAGGCACCTTTCCTGGCAGGAGGTTCCTTCATCCCTGCCTGGGAGGTGGTAAAATTACCCAATTTGTATCCCTTTGGAGACTTGGATTTGATAAAAACCCCAGCTGGCAGCGTTGGCCTGTGATAGTGGGTTCCCTCTGGCAGCCTGGAGCCCGTGGCAGGATTTGTACCTGGCTGTTTTCTGTCCCCTGCAGGCCTTGGGAGCAGCAAGACAGCTGTTGCTGGCAGGAGTGTCACACCTTCCAATGACTCTGAAGCCCCCACCCTCCCTCTCAAGGCTTGCACCTTAGCTGGGATGGCTTCCAAGACCACCAGCACCATCGTGCCCAAAAGGGTAGCCCACGTTCCCTCCTTGCAGGTAAGGGAGATTTGGATTCTTCTCCTCTCATTCCTCGTTGAGGGGGGTGTGTTTGATCAGACTGTTCCAAACTTAGCACTCCCTGGAAGTGGGGTTTTGATTGGGTTGGTTAAATGGGTTTGTTTCTTCCTGTGGTTTCCCTCGATGGCATCGTACAAAAAATGAAACCCCCTTGGGGGCAGGAGCTTAAAAAGACAGAGGTGCT